AAAAATTGGCATTAAAAAAATTTACTTCAATTTACAGGAATTGAACATCCAACCTGTAGCTTACAAGTCTAGAGGCCTCGCATTTGCACCATAATCACTTGAACAAAACTGACACTAGCCAAGGAAAAAAAGTTGCGCCGTAGTATAACACTACGCTCCGCTTGCGTAGACTACAACTAAATGCTCAAAATATATAAAAAATTTCATAGATGGAGAAGAAAGAACAAAGCCAACTGACAGATGGAAACCACTAATGAACGCAAGGAAACGAAAAAAAAATGACTTGTTTATTTGAAAAAACTACAAGTTTCGAGTTTTAAGGGAAGAGAAGCCACTAAGGTTTTTTGAGCATAAACAAAAAACTATGATTGATGACTTTAATTAAAATAAATCCAATTTGCAAAAACTGGATCGTTAGGTAAAACTTTAATTCCACTGAGAAATCTGAACATTAAAAACCACTTTCGAAACTAGAAATCGATCATTTTTTACACTTTTGCCGTTGGATCGTCGAGTTTGCATTCCTTTTAACAATGAAATTGAACTGAGTTTAACAAGAAATCGAAACTCAATCGGCGACAAGCCGACAAGTAAGAATTAAGAGTGAACAAAGCTGAGAGTTTTCTTGAAAAAAAAACCAAAAAATCACCAAGACCTCTTTTAGAATCTTGACTACGTTCTGTACTTTTATTCATCAAATGCAGAAATCGTTAAAACATAACTAACAGACAGTTGGATACGAGTCAATGAACGCAAGTAAATAGAAGACAAATTTGATTGCTTTTTGAAAATTTCTCAACTTTTGCATTTCAACTTAATAAAAGATACCCTTAGGGCTCTTCGAAACTCTAGAACAATTTATGACTATTTTTTTTTGATGAAATCAACCCAATTTGAGAAAACTGGATCAAGATTTAATTTTTTTTGTTTCGCAGGTAAATCTAAAAATTAAATTCCACTTTCGAAATTAGATGTCGTTCACGTTTTTCGTGACTTTAACAATTTCACTGTTCGATAGTGGAGTTTTCCTTCCTTTTAACTAAAAAAAAGAATTTAATTTGGAAAAAATCAAACCACAAAAAAACTTTTCAGCTTGAACAAAATTCTAGACGTTTCCTGAGAAAACAAAACGGGAAAAAATCATCGCAACCTATATAAGAGTTTGAACTACGTTCATCGACTCTTAAACAGGCTTCAACTTAATCGAATGCCGAGATTTTTTGGGAAAAAATTCAGCTTGAGGTTACTAACTTTATCCAAAGGTGAAGCGGTTCTTGGCATCAATTGTGATACAAGGTAAACACATCAATGCAATCTAGCAATTAGAAAATAGACGCGAATAACAAAATCGAAAAAATATATATTTGGGAAAAAAATGAAAAGAAAAAATCGAAAAAAAAAATAGTCAAGAAACACAAAAAACAGCAACAACATAAAATTTCAATTTTTCAGCTAGCAGCCACTAATACGACAAGGCATTCATTCAGCCGAGAACTGCCGCTAATTGAGCTGAAATTAAAAAATTGCCGTAAAAATTGTTGATATGAAAATTTTTTGAGGAATAGTTTTTTTGACTTCGAACTTTTACCAGACCAATTACGTGACTTTTTGATCAATCAATTTTAACCCTTGAAGCGACACAACTCAGCCGATAAAACATAAGCTTGAAAAAAAACAAATTACGCTTAAAGCGAAATGTACAAAGAGGCAAATCTGATCTTCGCGGAACGTGCAATACAGCCGCCATCAACAAATCCCCCTCGTCCTCAACACAAACAAACAAAAAATTTCAACTCCTTGTCAAATGAACCAACATGAGACCACCAAGCCAATATAATAAAGGCCGAAACCAATTGAGACGAAAAAAGGAAAATAAAACAAAGCCGAAAATGAATTCAAAAGTTTTCAGACTAATAAAAAATTATCAAGTCCCCTCTCAAACTCAAAAAATGCAGGCACACACAAGTCTTTTTTCGCTGGTCGACTGTCGCAATATGAGGCCATTAAACCGATATAAAATAGGCTGAATTTAATTCAGGCAAAAAAAAGGAAAAAAATGCCGACTAAAAAACTGTCGTCATTAAAAACTTGAACTATAATTTCTTCTGAGATTTTAGCAAAATATGCGATTCAGAGCTGAGCATAAAACTACGTTTCACTTAAAACGACTCAAACTTAGGCCAATACGCTGATAAATAAGAAGCCAAAATCATTTGGACAGAAAAAGAAGAAAAAGAAAATATACATGTCAAGAAATTACAAACAGCACAATAAATCGGAACACTAAGATCAACTACAATTGTAAATTGCGTATAGCAAGAAAACACAATTCTACGATGTGGCAACTAGGCCGATAAAACATATGCAGATAGATAATAGGCCGACATTTTTCCGAAACCTAATATTTCCAGTTCGAAAAAAAACTGGTCTCGATCAAATACGAACCCAGGACCTTTGCCGTACCAGGCAAACTTGTTGCCTCCAATCTAAGTGAGCCGATAACGCTAAGAAATTGAAGTGGAGCAGGAATGGTCAGAAATTACCACTAGAGATGAGTCCAAAGCCGACACAACTTTCGCAGACAAACAAAAGTCTGACAATTCAACTTTTCCCGAATAGTTTTATATAACTTCATCCTTACTAAAAAAACAAGTTCCAGTGGGACTCGAACCCCAGACCTTATAGCGCAGAGCAAACTGCGTTACCTCTAGAACAAGAGGGAAACAGTCTCGAAGTTGCCAACGAAAAAACGAATAACAATCTAATAATATGGGTCAAATATTTTACAAAGACTGTAGACAGTCAATTAAACTATATGAAATTTGAAGACTATGCAAGCACGCCGATGTGTAGGCGGTGTTTTATTGATACTCTTTTTTGAAAACCGTGAGTATATTGAGAAGATAAAATTTTGCAAAAAGGAAAAATTTCAAAGTGTCTCAAAAAAGACAAAATAAAAACCCTATTCCATACATTTTATAATACCTAACTTTTCAAATAGGAACTAAAAATAAACATGCCAAGCAAGATATTAAATTTCAGATTGGCAACAGGACAAATTAGCAACAAAACGGAAGCAAAGCCGTCAATCTTTAAGCAGACAACAGTTCAGCCGAAAAAAAAATGTTTAGAAAAAAAAATGTTACGTATGTAACTACAAAGAACAACCTTTCCAAATACAATGATATTTGCTTAAAACAAAATTCTGTGATGTCGCACCTAAGCCAATAAAGCTTGAGCAGACACACGCCAACGCAATTTGTACAAACTTAAAAATATTTATACAAACTCATTAAAAACAATAAAATCCTGCCGGGACTCGAACTCCAGATCCGAGGTTGTAAAAGCGACCACGTTCCATCCAGACTAAGTGGGAAGGAACAGGAAGTTGTTAAGGTTCAATAAATAAGCAAGTTTGGTTTCTTTCAATATAAGTTGATAACGGTAAAAAAAAATCTAGTTCACGATTACAAGAACCTCGCAAGTGTAATTATTCGGATTGTTGTCCGGCACCCAAATTTTAGGTCAATTTCTTCCATACAGAAGTTTTCCCGATTTAGTAGCCTTCGACACAAAGGCAAAGCTAGGATTGCAAACACAAGCGAGGAAAATGCAAAAAAGAGCTCTAAGCAAGCAAAACAAAGTGAAATAAAAAATTGATTAAAAATTCACTGAAAAAATTGTTAATGAGACTAGAGTATCATATTCACACATCTGCTCAACGGCCTTTTGTAATTTTACTAACACTAGGCACCAACAGAGTAGCTACCGTTTCTATCAAATTGACAATGTTATGAAGCAAAAACTCGTTCAAAAAAATGAATTTAGTTACATGTTCCGGATTTAAACATCAGAACTTGATTAAGTCTCACGTCCTCGCAGCTAATTCTGGATCTACATGTTCTAAGATTTTTAATCTTACATTGTACTGATACGGAAATGCGTAATTTTCTAAATTTCGAAAACTGGTATTTACGCCAAACCCTAGTGCTTCTCTGGAATAACTGCATAACTAATTCTCGCTTTTTTCAATTGAAGTCCTTGTCTCAGATTTGTCACTGTCTACTGAAAAACAGGTAAAACAGATTACCCAGGGATAGTCTAAGCCCCATGTTAGTTTTAATGAACTTTCAACCTCAGAATCAGCATGTTAGTTTTACAAAATAAATAATTTTCCTAAAACGGGCAAAATTTCAAAAATTGAACATCTAGGTCCATGTTTTTTTTTAAAAAGCAGGTTATGGCTACATGCGCAGGTTTCAGAGAAACCCTTAATCTCCGATTTGGCAAGGTAGTTTTTGGAAAAGTAAAAAATTTTAAAGCATATTAACCAAAATGTTAAAAAATGGGCTGGTTTGAGCCATGGATTTTTTCTACCAAACTTAGGGATTAACTGCTTCAGATGGTGAGATCCCATGACTTGTTCTTTTGATAGAAAGCTTCATCTCAGATTTGTGCATTTAATATGAGAAAATGAAAAAATTCAAAACAAGTAGGTCGAAAGAACCCGTACTAAAATTTCCGAAGGCCGTAGAACGTGAGCTAAAATGAAAAGAGACTAGCGAAATATTCAGGCACACAGAAGCGCAGCCAGTTTTTCCATTCGTACCATTTTTTGAAAATCGGTACAGTAGTTTATGAAAAAAATGATATTTCAAAAAATTTTCAAAGCGTCATGAAACAAGACGAAAAACAACAAATCCCATACTTTTTCATGATACATGTTTTAAATTCAAACAAGACCTAACACTAGTAAAAAAGCAACATATGCCATTAAAATGTTTATGCTTAAATAAGGTAAAATTGAAATATACCAAAAGTGCCACCAACTGAGCATTTTTATTTGCGACTAAGTTTAGAAAATTCTTCGTAATACACTACGCTCGCTGGTGTATAAACACTTAAGTAAGAGTATTTCAAAGACGAAGTAATCAAAAAGTCTTTTTTACTTTTTCATGTGCATTCCTAGTCCTAAAACTTAAACTTAAAGATGATAAGAATTTAGACAATTAAAATCAATTCAAGTCAACTTTACAACTTTATGAATAGCTACAACGTACAACTTCAGTGCTCATTTCTCGGCAGCACATATCACATGTATCATCACAAACAATGCATTCATTGATCAAACAATAATTCACCACTTTATCAACGATGTCGCATGCGGCTCTTTTTGCTTAGTCCTCAAAAAGTAGAACATCTAACCCAGAAAAATGATTCTTTGTCTAACCCACAGGGCTTTCATTTAGCTTATAAGCTAAAAGATTTATAAAATAGTCGAAGCTATAAGATAATAGATGTTATTCTTATATTCGATATAAGAAGCTAGAAGATAATGCCTTGGAAGATACCTTCTTTTAATATTTTTATGAACTATGAGCACAATATTTGATGAGGGCTACCCAAAAAGAACCTTTGAGTTTACTAAATATCGGTTGGCTGTATCCTGATTGCAGCATTTATGTCTTTTTGGACTTGTCTTTGTCACTCTGCGCTTCCTTTTCCTTTTCTTGCTGAATTTCCTTCACTAGTTTTTCAAGCTCTTCTGTTGGCATAAGCTAAACACTTCGAGTTAATAACAAAAATTGAAGACCTGGTTAGTGGTACTATATATGAAATACATATAATAACCTATGGAAGCCAGAGAATAGCTTATACAACGTAATTTTGCCAATGGCCAAACCTAGCAAAATGTTCAAAAAATTTCACCAGATTTTTTAAGTTCCTATCCGAATCAATATGGTTTTAACAACGATTCAAATTTAATAATTGGGTTCTAAAATTAAGATTGGTCGCTGAAGACATTTTTGGAGCTTGAAATCTTTGGAAACTGGGAGATCATTTGGTCGCTGTCCTTCTTGAAATTTATTCACAAATCGCGGTACCCATCTTTTATACTTGCTGTTTTCAGGGACCCAACTATCATACTAACAGATATTTGATCCAGCAATCTGCTTTAACAAAAACTGATAATACCTGATAAGGTGCGTCTCTCCTGCATATTGCCACTTCCATGTTGTTCTCTCTGCTCTGCACGACTTCCATGAGAGCCCCCACTGCTAGCTTGAGCACCTTTGTCTCCTCACCCCCCGCGTCCTTCTTGTCTCGCTCCCCCTCCAACTTCTTCTCCAAATACTCACGCACTGTCTTCCCATTCCTACCAATCGCATTGGCCTAAATCATGACAAAAATGGAATGTCATTAACTACTTCTTAAATTTTTTTCCAAATCTATTACTCCATACCAAATATCAACATCGGAAATAACAATTCCAGACATCTATATGTATTTTACTTGAGAGGAACAAGACAAAGGTGAATATTTTAAGGTTCGCTAAGTTTTTTTGAGTTTAAAAAGAGACCGCGTACAGAATATCCGGAATAGCTGCAACATGGATCATCGGTTATTTGAAATCCATGCAGTACAGTAAACAAAGATAGATACTGCTATGCCATCATATTTCCACCTGTTTTAGATCCCAGTTTGATAGCAAGCTCAGTAGCATGTCAAGGGGATCTTCTTCTCTGGTTGTAAAATTTTTCCAAGGGGTTCCATTTCTGACCAAACCCAAAAAAGTTCTAAAGCATTACCAGTGCCTTTCTCTTTGAAGTGTCTGAACCAAAAAAATTCAAGGAACCCCCACGCAAGTTCCTGCGCAAGCAATTCCGGGGGGGGGGGGGGGGTTAGGGGTGTTAAATATCAATTTGGTCCAAGCTTTTAAGCATTTAATTTTTCTGCACCTTCCACTCAAAATAAGTGCCAGATGGGTCTGTCTGGAACAGTCTGGGCTCTCCGCTCTCAGGGTCGAAACCGGCAATAAGACATGAGATGCCGAATGGGCGTCTGCCGTTGCTCTGTGTGTACTGCTGTTTGATTCTGGCGATGTATCTGGTGATGTAGGGCACGTTGACTGCGTCCTCCAGACTCAGTCTGTGGCTTTGACACTCTATTCTTGCCCGGTTGATCAGAACACGCGCATCGGCCGTAAGACCTGAAAAGAAATCGTCAAATAATATGCCACTAAAATTAGATTCCCCAAAAATAAGAATAGGACAATATGCTTCAGCCACCCAAATAGCCAGGACTTAGAATTTTTGCTATTTCAGCTAGTTGCAAAACAATATAGCCAACAGACACTTGAAAGAAAGTCAATGAACGCTCTTTGAATTTCAAGAAAAAAAGTCACTTGATGAGCAAGCTATATCAAAGTCAGTCTGTTATACAGCCCAACAAAGTTTTTAGCAAGTATAACCTGCCAAAATCTTTAAAAACGAATATATTTTTGTTTGATAGCTAAAAAACTATCAAAATACCATACTATATAAAATTACTATATAAAATACCAATTCTTTGCTTGAAAACAAATTTTTGCAAACCTCCGCAAAACTTTGGAGGTTATAGCCTTCTTAAACTTTGTTGGGTTGTATAAGAGGCTGACTTTGATGCTTGCTTATCAATTAACTCTTTAGATTTGGCGTAATTTTTGAATGACTAAAAAGTCAAAATGACCCATTTTGAGGTAAAATTGTGGCCACGAAATTCGCAAAGTTATTGCACTGTAATAATTCTGATAAAATTCTAAGCAACTTTAGTTCTCGTCATTTTTATCTAAATCAACCCAACATGAGAAAAACGCTTTTAAAAATTCAAATTTTTTTCATTTTGTCTTGATAATATAAATCAGCACTGTATCTTTCAGCTGCAGGATCAACCGTACAATTCCCCCCAAACCGCCTTAGGGGGAGAAAATATAGATTTTTAATAAACTACCTTTGAGAATAGCCTAGATTTATTCAAAATTAACCGCTTTACAGAAAAAAAATGATTAAAACATTGATCTAAGCAATTAACAGTATACAAATGCAATCCCACATACAAAAATGTAAGAACCAAACTTATTTGCGCGATTCATCGAATGCATATTTTATACAGACTCAATTTTCACATTTAAGACATGCTTGGGAAGGACATTCTACATTAAGTCACTTAGGGGGGGGGGGAGATTGTGCGGTTGATGCCAGTTGCATTCTCTTAACCAAGTGTTCATGACACCCATCACACAAACAAACATGTTATCAAAGCTCGCCTTCTCACTTCCCTAAATGCATTAATAGTTAACTTGTGATCATTTACAATCCTAGGAACAGAGACAACCTTGAACTCGACTATTCCTGAGTCCGAATAGAGGTAGAAATACAAACAAGACACATGATAATGATTCATGCCGTTACAGCCAGAGTTAACTAACCAGCGAAAGCTACTAGAATATGGTCGTCTAGACTGCATATCTTGCGCACAGTCCTGTCCTCCTGCAATTTAGCTACTGCCTTCTTCTCAACTGCTAACACTATCACGTCCTTGCCCTTCACCGCCAGCTAAACAAAGAAAAAAACAGAGTGAAGGGTCACAGAAGCCCCAAATTTTTTTTAAAAAAAGCAAATTAAATACAAGTAGCACAAAACGTTATCCTTGCAAAAAAGCAATTCGAGATTTACGCGCACGCTTTCACATACACTTGAACTGGACAAGGAACCAAATGTAAATATAATTAGTAAAAACCAGTAGCGAATTTCCGAAAAATGTTCAAAAACAAGTCTTTTATCGCTTTTAATACATTTGTAAAAACTTTCAATTTACACCATTGGACCTTGTGTCAATTCGTGTTACCTGCGTAAAAGAACAACGCTCGCTATGTCAGACTTTACTAGCACTCCTTTGCATCCGGGGTGGTCGGGGCATCAAACTCAGTTTCGGAAAAAACCATTTTAACATACAAGATTCGACGTTACTTTGCGGTACCTAAGTTTGCGTGAAAAAACACTCCCTAGGTTGATGAATTATTCGCACTACTTTTGGATTTGGGTAGTCTGCGAAACAATTTCATTGTCGGAAATGATTCGCAAAAATTGCCAAAAAGTATCTCTCTAGAAAAAAGACAAAAGGAGTCTTGAAAAAAAAGACATCGCAAGATCAAACAAATAAATCTGTACAGCCTTAGAAGCATCACCGGCGAACTTGTACTTCGTTAAAAACAGCAAAAAAACGCTAAAAACGCCTTTGACCAGATGATTTTTCTTAAACAAGGGTAGCGGGTTTTCGTGCAAGCAGTACACAATTTTCCTATCACAGTAATGAAAAGTAACTTAAATATGGGAAACAACAGAAACCTAAAACGTTCCAATTTCCAAACTTTTTACACACAGGCGAAGCATCACTTCGCAAACACAAGCGAGAATACGACAAAAAGCAGCTCTAAAGTGCAATAAAAAAAGTTGAAATAAGCCTCGAATTAGCAAAAACGCATCTACGTCTGAGAGTCAAACGTGTGACCTAGAGATTGGGAGTCTGTCATACTAACCACTCAAACACGGGCGCTTAATAGGAATCAAAAACTAGCCACAAATAAAGCAGAGAACAGATGCTATGCAATTTCCAATGCTACAGCGAGATTTCCTAATAAGAGAACACTTCTGATGAACTTTTTTATTTGCGAGTTAGGTTAGAAAAAAAAGATGGTTCGTAATAATACACCAAGCTGATCGCAAGGGTAATAAACTTAAGGGGAGGAAGTTCAACTGCTAGAATTACGCTCTAGAAGGAAATAATATTAGCTTAGTCCATGATTTTTTCTTACATCTGGCAAGTCTCGAAAAAAAAGCATATAAAAAACTTGAAACACAACTTATTGGAATCATAAATCAAAGAAACAAAATTTACCTTTTTGGATAAAATTTACCTTTCAACCGCTCAAACAAAAAGAACAGAGACAAAACAGATCTATGCAAAAGATGAAAGTCAAGAAAACCTACGAACAATTAAATATGGTGTTTTGCGAGTTTTTTTAAGAAGCAGTCAAAAGCATTTTGTTTAATTTTACAGGCAAGAATTTCCGTTCGTCACCAAAAGGTGTTTTTAAGTGGGCTGCACTACATTGAACTGTTGAGAAACTTTCGTTCGGTTTACACAAGCTAAGACGAAGTAGCTCAGAGGAACAAACTTCAACTGAATACAAAACGAAAACCAACTATCAAAGTAAAAATGATAACTTCAAATGATAAAATTTAAAATCTAGAAACTAACTATTTGAAACCAAAATAAAATGAAAGCTAAATACAGAAACTGATATTTTGCTTTAAAAACTCTGAGTACCGAGAAAAAGATAAACATAACAAATCCATTTCAAAAAAGCGGACATCATTTTGACATTTCAAAATGATGAAATCTAAACATTTTGAAAAAATTATCAAGAAATCCAAAAATATAATTTTAGTACTTCACATAAAGCGGCTACTTTCCACAACAATACAGCAGAAAGCAAGGAAAATAAATCTAACAAAATTCAATTGTTAACAAAAAACTTACACTTTCGTTAAAAAAAACAGGAAAAATTCATATACTCGATGACATGCACAATTAAGATTTTGATAAATACAGAGGTTTGCTCAATCAAAATTAACATAAGTTTCGACCAAAGTTGTTGCATGAACGATGAAACCGAAAAAATTTCAGAAAATTTTAATGGTATTGTTCTATTTTTGTAACGTTAATTTAGTTTTTTTGAAAATTCCTGGTAAATAGTAAATAATTTTCACACAAAAAAAAACGTTTAAAAAACTAAATTTTCACAACAAAATTTTCACACAAAACTACAAACGTTTAAAAAATACATTGATAAAATAAGCCAACAGAATTACAGCCGATCGACCTTTAGCTCCGAAAAATCCTCGGTACCGAAAAACCTATTTAACAAAGAGGCGCAGCGGAGCTTCGTCTCACTTGCAATACAACATAAGTACAGCACTGAAAGCTAGCGAATAGAAACTTAGAGCGAAATAAAAAAAATCGAAAATAAGAATAAATTCAGAAAAACAGTAAAAAGACACAAACAGCGTTTAAAAATTTTAGTTTTCACTGAGCGGCCACAATGTCGCCAATGCCTGGGTAGATGCCCACTGAGCAGAAAACTAAAATTTTTGAAAACAAACTACCTGATATTTTTTTTTAGAAAAAATACAATCATTATTTACCCTTGAAGCGACATGAATCACAAACCAAGGTAACTAAGCCAATAAAAGATGAACCGAAGACATTTAGACGAATTAAGCTTTTAAGCAAAAAAAAAAACAAAAACTGAAAATATACAAAGTCAAGGCTCTAAAATTACAGAAACAGTTCAAAAACACTTGCATCTACGATGAGAATTACTGACCGCAAAATATATTACTACCACTATGTGACATCTAACCGACAAAACGTAAGCAGAAAAACGAAACTCCAACAACAACTTTTCCCGGATACACACCCACACACACAGAAAAATTCCCAGAGCTTAGGGTGTAGAGACAACCGCGTTACCTCTAGGGCAGATGGGAAGGAGTCTCGAAGTTGATAAAGTTCACAAATAAAGCAACTTCAACTTCATATTTGTAAGAAAAATTGTTTACGGTTAAAAGTCTAGTTTCCGATTACAAGACATTTCCTCTCGCAGTAACAAGGAGTCATAGAGTGCACACAAGCCACATATGCAATCAATACGCTAATTTTGCTTTTGATTGTCGTCAAGCTGAATATCATTTCGTTCAATCGATTACCATTCTGTGAACGAAACTATTTACGGAAAGGAAGTCTGGTACCCAATCGCAAAACCCTGGCTTATTTCAAGGGTATAAAAATTGTGTACGTTGACAATAGCACTGACACAGAACTTGTCTGAATTAGGAAAACACCTTAAAATTGCCTGTTATTTGACAAAAGAAAACAATACAACACAAACTGTATTTGGGCTTGCCTACATCAATACGTTGTTTTGCTTTTTAAGACGAACAAGGGTACAACGACAGTGAAACCTCGAAAAATAACACAAGCTGCGTTAGAAAATCTCGTTTTTCTAAATTTCGAACTCGTAGTTCCAAATTTTGAGATGGAATAATTGCGCTCGGCGTGGTTTTTAGACAAATTTTTATTGTTGAACAAAATTTTAGATTACATGTTCAGATAATTTTAAAAATTGTTCTGAGCTCGGTTTTTAAAGATCTATTCCATCAGTGAACATTTGAAAGGCTATGAGTGTTGAAAATTGCGGCAATTTGATCTGGCTCAAAACCCAATATAAATTGACTAGGGACAAGATATCTGGACTTGTTACCAGGTTGCTAAACACTGACTACCTCCTTTCAAAATATTAGAAAAAGGAAAACTTAATTTAATTAGAATTATAACTATTTTGAAATAGACTATACCCAAAATTATTCCGAAGAACTCAGGGGGCTGTCGCAATAACTGAGCCTTTGCCCCAATGCTAATATAATATAACCCAAACCCGTTTAACCAAAAAAATCAAAAAATATTTAAAAAACAGAGCTGGTGAAATAACAAACTACATAACAACTTCAATTATAGTAAAAAACAGTTTGAATAAAAAAAAATCCCAGGCTTTGGAAAAAACTTGCTTGAAAACCGTAGCAGATGATATAAATTGCAGTTGTTACTATCTAAAATGATCTGAGAGGTAATTACATTTGAACTTTAAAGAAATTGAGCATGCCATATTGTACTTTGTTTATAGTAAAAAAAAGTCTAGTAACCGATAACAAGTCACTTGCTCTCACAAGTGCAATTATGTTGCATGCTGTTGTTCACTTCACTCCTACATCGATTTCAGGTGAAATAAATGAACGAAATCCTCGTTTTAAATAGCATCAATGGGACGTCGGATAAATTATCAAAACGCATCCGAAATATTAATAATGCAATCAACTCGATTGCAATATCACTGATATTCGATAGCAAACGAACTTGGAATGAACTTCATCAGAAATCAGCAATCAAACCGCAAAAAAACTTGATCGCAATCAAAATTTACATGAATTCGAAATATATGCAATCAATACACTAATCATGCTATTAAATTCTTAACAGTTTATATTATATTGTCATAATGATCACAAGGGTAATAAAAACCGTTGATACTGAAATTCTTCAACATTTGACACAGAACTTTTTTGAATAAGAAAAATAACAATTCGGTATGTCTGTTCTTTGACAATAGTTTATAATACAACACAAAATATTTTCGGGCTATGTTAGTACATTGTTTTGCTTATGACGAACAAATGTACAAAGACATGATTGAAACATCGAATGAGAACACAAGCTGCATTAGTAAACTATCTCGTAACGAATTTAGGAAGGAATATTTATGTTCGGTGCGTTTTTTCTTCGTCAGTTTTGACTCTTCTACTTCTCACTTTTGAATATTTTTATATAACCTAAGAAGTAAAAAAAAACTTCGATTCCTAGGTAAAAGTTCTTTTGACTGGTAAGAAAAAGGCGACAGTGGATCAAATAAAACATTTCTGCAAATTATCAAGAAAAACACTTTGCTGAATTGCGCAGCTATGTATAAATCTAGTTGCCGCTTTGAACGCATTGTTTCTCAACCGAAAAATGAGAACAGCGCAAATTAGATAGCTCAAACCCGAAAATGATCACTCAAGCTATCGATATCTTCTATTCGAAATAAATAGACCACATCTGCAGGCACTAATATTCGCTTCTCCTAAGCGGAACAAAAATCGTAAAATAATTTTCCGTTGCAAAATCATGGCTTATCTCATATCACGGTTTTTATGACGATAATAAAGGATGAAGTTTTTTTTTAAGTACAGGTAAACTTCCTTCTGAACACAACAGATTCTTGGGAGCATTTCACTTACAGCAGTTGACCCTTTCTCGACTGCCTCTTGCGCATATTCCACTTGGAACAGATGTCCGTCTGGGGAAAAGACTGTGATTGCTCTGTCGTACGAAGCAGACATTTTATAGCACAATTGGAACTAATGTATTCTTCTACAAGCGATGGTTTTTTTAAAGTAATTGACAGCTTATAATTTCACATCAACTAGTGATTCCCGACGCATGCACAGTACAATGCTGATCTGAAATAAAACTACCGTGTTAAGAAAAAAAATAAATTGCGGGCAGCTTAAATGTCAAGCCTGGCTACATATGCGATAAACGAACACTATTCGAGCGTCTCCTTCAAACTAAATTCTTGGCAATAAGCACAAATGATTAAGTTGTGAGAAAAGACATGTTCACTGCGTATAGAGATTGGATTTTTACAACTGGCAAAAACGCCATTAAAATCACTAAAATTAAATTATTCTTCACGGTATATTACAAGTTCAGCGAGCGACAGAAGCTTAAAATGTACAATTTAGCAGAACACAGGGCAGTCAGTTCGCTGCTAGTTTTCTTTGTCCGAATGAGGCTGTGAGATATTGTTCTCAAACTGTCCCATCATGTTGCCTGGGCACTTATAGTTGGCTACAATAATAGTTATTTCTCCGTTCTTCGCATACCCAAAGCCCGCATACTTGGTGCTTTTCCAGATTACTTGTGCAAAATGTCCAGTTCCGGGTTGGAACTCGAGCTTCGAAAAGTCATAATCTTTCACTTCTTTGTACCAGTGGTAGACAACTTCATCGGCAGTCGGATTCAGTTTCAAGGCCTTGGCTACATTCTCTCCGTACCGTGGGTTATCGCTGTGTTTGAATTCATTATCCCTGATTAATTTTTCGGCCCATTCCTGGGCATGCACAGCGCATGAATTTGACCATTTTAGATCTGGAACTCCATGCTTGGCGCGATAGTTATTGTGTACTTCCAAGAGATCGAGCTTGAAAGGATCGGCAAGCTTCGGATCCGGTTTTGCTCCTTCTTCTTCTTCGTCTGAATTTTCCGCGTCGTCGTAAAATCCTTGCCGGTACTTCTCTGGATCAAGGCCTTTCTGTTTCAGTCCGCAGTCGAGACACATTATGTCGATACTCTGGCTCTCTTTTCCTTCAGCTAGAAAGTACTTCTCCACCAACGACAGCTGGCAAAACTTGCAAGCCATGCATACCTCATGCCATTTTCTCCCTTCAAACTCCATGTGCTTGTCGCCATCCAGACTAGTGATTGCTCGATTGCATGAAGCACATTTTTCCGCGTAATAAGTAGCATAACAGTCAGTGCAAACTTCTTTGGAATCAATAAGGGCGAACTGTTTATCCCTGAGAGAAGCTTGGCAATCAGCGCACTTGAAACAGTTGGCGTGGAAAGGCTGATCCTCGTGAAGCACCCCGTCATCAATAATTGCGTCGTGACATTTGGTGCATTTATACGCAAACTGCTCCTTAAAGCAATCCAAACAGTAGTTGTTACCATCAGACTTTGGATGGAAAGGATCGGAAGACAAAGTTTTCTTGCACGAAAAGCAGAACATACAGTCTGAATGATAGACATTGTCTCTCCACGATAGTTTCTTCGATCCAATTCGAATCACTTCATTGCACTTATTGCATGACGGTGAAAAGTTATCATCGAAACACATCGTGCAGTAAATTGCTTTTTCCTTGAGAGCAAATCTATCTGCGGACAAAGCAGTATCGCATTTAGTGCATACAAAGCAGGACTCATGCCAATATCGATCTTCGTTGCAGTAGCTCTTGTATTTAGGGTGTATTTTCTGTTCGCAACCAAAGCAGCTATTTGCTAAGAACTCGTTATAGCAGTTAACACAATAGCAACCTTCGTCTCTTCGGACATATCGATGACCATTTAGATCATGTTCACACTTCACACATGAAAACACCGTTTCCTCATTTTCACCTGTCATCTTCCTCTGCAAAACGATAGTTTAAAATTATCAAGACAACAACATTACCCACCACAATTGTCTAATTTATATCATACAGTAAGAAAAATCAACATAAATTTTAGAAACAGTAAAAATAACCAGTTATTGATCAAACAGCTCTGAAGTTTGCAGTCGTTCATTGAATGACAAAAAAATCTTTGTTTCGAGCCATTCCCGAGCCTCAAAATAATGGATGCCAGCAAATTGTTGATAGAGGCTTCGCTGAGTTCATCGGAGACAAGTAAAATTGTTCTTGGCAGCTTTCATGATACCTGCTGTAACAGGTTGCTGAACCTGATTGCGCGATAACTACAGAAAACAATCAACTGGATGAGAGGTAACAGCTGCAACTAGCTCATGCAAACGGATTTGACTATCAATACAACCATGTCGCGACCAAATTTATTTGTCTTGTGACCAGCTGCCAGCGTCTGAAGACCTTTGCGGAAAAAAAAAACAAAGAATGATGCTGACCCAAAACTTACATTGAATGAACAATTTACTTCAAACTGAATGTATAGCTTTTAACAAACTTATCGGAAACGTTAAAAACTTCTGACCTTGCGACAGTTAAATAGAGTTAATGTACCACCCGAATTTTAAAAATTGCCTACCAACTGTCAAAATAGCTAACCAAAAATTAGCGCTGATTCAGAGGTCAGTTGTTCTCAGTCGCTTTCGATTAAGTGCTCGTTTTTTCCGGTTTTCTGTTGTTTTCGTAATCGCTTTTCTCATCGCCCCGAGACTCTTCAGTCCGTCCTGCCGTTGTCGCGTTTTGGTAGCTGAAGCCTGGGGTGCTCGTTTCTTTAGGCTCGGGGTTACTAGGCATGTCGCTTTTTCAGTTGTCTTTTTTGGATCTAAATGCATAACCGCTCCGGCTTAACACATACCCTTGTTTCATTTGGACACTATCACGGGTTATTTTTTCACCAGATGTGTTTAACTTATAGTAGCTTCAAGGATCTTTAGCGTCGATTGCCCCCATTTTACATATGAACCACTTTTTCTGCCTCGGATTATTTTTTCTCCAATTATTACAGCCGTGGTGGTGCAATTGAGTAGTATGTTAGCTTGATTTCCGCCTCGGCGAGCTCGTTCTTGTTAAGGGTTCTCCGTGACTTTTAGTTTCATTTTGTTGTGTTACATGTTCCTGAGTTTTCACAGAAACTAGTGAGACCAAAATTTGAATTGAAGAATTTGGATTGAAAAATTGAAGAAATGAGACCACAAATTGGATTGAAGGTTTTTTGTCCAAGCGATGAGACCAGAATTAGTTCAACTAAAACTCAAATCGACTACATTATCAGTGACTATGAAACAAACGGCATTGAATTTTGTTTGGATACACCATATAAAACCGACCATTTTGCTTCATTTATTTTGACGGATATAAAATGCGGCAAAAGTTTACCGAGGATAATTTCGACTTTCAATAAGAAAAATTATCAGAAAAATGAATTTTGCAATACACTCTCAGCTCTTCCTTGGTATCTCTTATATCAATGTACAGACGCACAAAACATGTTCTCGAATGTTTCGATTCAGAATGTTTCGATTCAGAATGTCAGCAATTGTTGATTCAGAAACAGAATTCACTCAGATCATATCGCACTCAAAGCACAAGCGATAATTGTTCAAAGTACCAGTTTTTACGTAATCAAATGAGCCAATTGATTAAAAGTAAACAACTCGATCATTCAAAAAATTGTTTTTCACTTCTCAGCACTATCCAGCAAAAATGGAAATATATTAACCAAGTTAGAGTTACATGTTCTGGCAACAATCGAATTACAGTTCTACGAAATTCCTTCAGTGAAATGATAACCCAAGACAAAAAAATTGCCAATCATTTAAATTATATTTTTTTCAAACTTAGGCAATGTAACATTCGCCCGGAAGATACATATCGACGGATAACAAAACTAAGTCTTAAGACGACTGGCTAGCGTCTAAACAGAGCTTTGCATGTTTTTCACCGTCTCTACCAAGTCAGTACTTTTCGGTGGTCTTTCTTACATCAGGCTGACAAAAACGTTACTGTTCTCCGGCTTCGACCAGAACGCTCAAATTAACTAGATTACATGCAAAAATAGTGAGCTCATGGCTGGGTCTCAGTATCCCCAGACCACGAGGTCACTCCTAAAAACAGGGCTACTACTTATTATATTACTATTGTTTTTGTTCAGTAGATAAAAATCATCATCTCCATCGAAGATGGATCAACCCTTTCCCCCCTACTTCTAGCTCCTCATTCTTGTCAAAACGAATTAAGATCTTAATTAAATTCAAGTCAGGACATGACGGATGCTAAAATTCAATATAAGTTCATAAAAGTCCACGTCCCGAGACCCTTCCGGATTCTTGAATCCGGTGAATCAAGCTTCTTAATATCCAGTTCACAATAACTCGGAAGGCTGGGTTTTACCCTTCACCGTTGCTCGCAACGGCCTTGCAACTATTGTAACAGCACAATAGTTGCAACTCGGAACGTCCTCTGCTGTTCGGTAGTTCGTTGTAGTTTTTTAGTCTCGATTTCGTACTGTTCGTAATCGCAGATAAAAGTTGTTCTGTTCCTTTCTGCTATTTTAGCTAAAATGGCCGTCTCTGACGTTTCTCAGAAATATGACGTCATAAATCGAATTTTTTAAAAATTAGAATTCCAGAATCTTCTAGCCTTCACCGTTTGGCTAATCGTTCAAATAACGTCCTTATCCGTTCTAAATCGCCAATTCGGAAGGCTTGCTGCTAAAATACCGAATTCTGCAGAGACTGCATTTTGGCCATTCTGGTCGAATGTCACATACTCCCCGGACAGTCCGGTCAATGTCCTCATTGAATCGCGCAATGTTCTAAATGGTTACAGTGTCATCGAACAGAATTTACAAAATGCACGAAATTACTTTTACCTACGTCACATCGACTCACTGCAGAATATAAATGGCATCATACTACATCACTATAGCCTTCAAATTCTTTCATTAATCTGCACATTGAGGATATGACTTAAGATAAAACATATTTTCTGACTTCCAGTGTCAATATCCCGATTGAAACTTTTTCTCCTAGATTTAAAAGGTGTTGGCTTGCAGGACAGTCCTGCCAACCAACAAGCTAAAATTATCCTACTATGCTCCTTCCCTTCGGAAATCTTGCTTGTTTATTGTCCTGAATATTAAAACTAAGAAACTTTGTGGTTAGAAAGAACAATGCAACAACCTCCCTCCTCAAGAAGTTACTCAAGTTTTTCATGTCACCACAAAGTTATCAGTCTTCCTAAGTGATTAAAAACAATCATGCAGGCTGGAATATTTAAATATACTCTTCCCTCAAGCCTTTCTAAATAAATAATAAGTGAGTGTCTCTAAAGCCACTTCAACTAAAACCAAAATGCAAATTTATATATGCAACAATTTCCAAACTCAACTTAAATGTTTCAGTTTTCAATTACAACTTGGTTGCTTGGTTTCTCATTTGAGTTTTTCACACACATAAAACAATTTTGAGTTTTAACTTTTCTTCATCATCCCTTTGTTCTCTTCTTTTTTCGTCGTTTAGAAGTTCTAAAACTTCTAAATTCTTCTAATTTTCTTTCTTGTTGCCTCTTGTTTTCTCGACCATTCATCAATGCTCCATTTCCTCCTCCTGTGACGCTGACTCTGCACTCTCGGTCTCCGTGTCTTGTAGCACGTCATTGACTATCCTGACGCTGTTGGAAGCCGTCCTCCAACACTTCTGCTCTTCCACCCTCTGTTTACAGCAAGGTAGGGGATCCACGTTTGATTCTCTGTTTCTACAGAAGCTGTTGTGGAGACACAACGTCACGTTTCTCTCCAAGTCTTCTTTCAGCATCTCTGCCTTCTCATTTCCACTACGCTCGCTCGTCCTGGAAATTCTTTTCACAGCGGTGGTCACTGCATTCCGATGGGTCACGAAAGCTCGCTTGAAAGCTCCTGCCCCAATGTCCAGCTGATATTCACTGTACACTCTGCCATGTTTCGACATATGCTTTTTCGCATACTCGTACAACCATGCAGTCATGTTAGCTCTGAACCATGGCATCAATCGTTTTCTTGCCCATATCTTCTTCACTTCCATCGGAATGTTTAGAACTTTGCACATTGTCTCAAAAAGATCTAAATCTTTTAGACAATCTAATTTCTGCAATTGTTCTCTCGTCGGTGCCTCCTGTCTATTATTTTCTCTCACATGAGCTTCCAGCCATCGTATCGCCATCATAACTCCCACTATCACTATTGCTATGGGCTGTGATGAATCTGGTAAACCCATGGAGAGCAGCTTTCCAGAGTCCCAGATCAACACCAGATTACTACGCTTGGGATACCACCAGGTCTGCAGCAAGCAGTGGCAAGGAAACTCGTCATGTGTCAACATGATGCTCCTCCAATTACGTTTTCCCGAAGCTTCCAGCAGTGGTTCCACTTCCATCATCACTCGGTGGATTTCATCATTCTCATCTACTGCATTGTAATCTGAGACAGTTGATCCTCTCTGTTTCTGTTTTTCGAAGTCACTGAAGTTCCCGCTCACATATCCCATGAACTTCTTTCCTAGTATTGACTCCAACTCCTCTTTGGTTCTTTCTGGGACTGCTGAGAACATCTTACATAGTAACTCGTAAGACTTTTCAGACATTCTCGCCAATCTCACGCACTTTGGCACTGAGAAAGCTTGATCCACGATCGTTCTTGTGCTCTTCACGTCCACAGCCACGAAATGTACAGGGTATCTGCTCTTGCACATTGGAGCCAACGTTGAACCCACCAAATATCGTGCTCCTGATGGTCTACAATAAGTTTCGCTGTGTCTGATGTTCATCTCCGTTTCGATTGCTTCCCTCCATTTTCCTATATACTTCTGCTCAGTCTGCAGAACCCCTGGGAATACTTCTACGCTGATGGCTGTGACCATCTCATGTTTCTGTTCTAGATTCAATAGTGACTCTAAAGAACCAAACATGCTGTAGAATCCTAGTGCTGTCACCAGATTCACATCGGTTCCTCCATGGCAATCTGCTATCAGTTCCGTTTCCGTTCTTGCTTTCATCACTACATTTCCAAACAATACCGTCAACTGCTTGTGTTGTTTCTCCAGGGTTTTCACACAGTCTAGACTTCCACAAACGTGACCCTCTAGTCCACAGACTTCCGCCAGACAGCTACCAGGTTTGACCCAGTCTTCTGGTCCCCAGCCAGGCAACTCCACTTTATCTTCTCCGTTGCTCTTAGAGGCTGTTATCATCACATTATATATGATGTTGAGGTCACGCAGGTTACAGTCCACATTCAGTTCCCTCTGTATGTCCTGTGTCGCCCGTAATATTGAGTCAGCGTTGGGACTAGGACACCACGATGGCTTCATCAATTCCCACACTGCCATCAAGCTCGTTCTCAGTAATTCATCTGAGAATCCCAACCCAAATTCCACTCTCTTGTCGGATTTTGGTACTGAAGGTGCAGTCACCTCTTCTTCCAAGACCAATCCCAATTTGGCCTGTGGATTGTTAACGCTCTTAGTCGTCACAATTCTGGACGTCCAGAATCTTAGTAACACCGCCTGCTCATAATCAAAGAAGCAATCACGTATGTCTTCACTCAGGAAAGGATTGTATGCTATCCCTATAATCCCGGACACATAGCTATATGACTTTTTCTTGATCGGTCCACAGTATTCACTGGATTTTGGCAATGCTCCCATAGACTCTTTAGTGAGCCTCAACTCCTTGTTTGAGAATCTCCTGATCTCGTCTATCTTTTTCATGGGTTCCAATTCTTCAGGTTCTTTCATGTTCACCCTCATCGGTTTACTTTGCTGTATATCCAGCATTGCTAGTAAGAACATGGCTTTCGTTCGCGTTCAATGTCCATAAGGATCATTCTTCCGGCATTTCGATTTGCTAGGTTTCTTATGATGTTGTTCCATCTCATGACTCCCTCGTTGTGCCTTCTTCCTGATGCTGTCAGGTTTCTTGCGTTCATTGGCACCGTGCAAACGGTCAGTACCGCGCAACTGAACTTCTGCCAGAGAGTGGTGAACAAACACACCATCATTGATTCCCACTGTGCTTCCTGCTCGTCTGATCCTCTGGAGATATCATTCGTCCCAACTAATATCATCACACTGGGTATCCTCCCGGGATTCATCAGCTCCACCATCCGGTATAATTGGGCAATTGTCGCGCCTCCAAAGGCCATCACCGTGGTGACCCATGAGGTCCTCAAATTCGTTAGCACTCGGACTAAGCTGTCTCCCAATATCAGGTGAGATGTCCCGAGTGGTGGTTGCTGCAGGTTCACAGCCGGGCTCCAGGTAGCTTTGAAGCAGGCTCTCGGATCTGTCTCCGGAACTCCTGTGAAATTATACTTTAATTGATTATTCTTCTGCACGTCCATTACACGAGACACTTTCTTCGCTGGCATCTTCCTTACTTTTCTCTCTGTGATCTTCGAACTCCCCCTGAGTGGCGTCACGTCACTTATCCCTTGTCT